GTGAAGGGCTGCTTTGCAGATGATTTTCGTTGGTTTTAATATCAGTTGGTGTTTATACACCCCAGGCTGAGGCGATGAAGGTTGTTCTGTGTGAAATGGCTTTTTTGAAGAGGGAAACTAATCAGGTTCTCATTAAGATGGCCCCATTCTGGATTTTCCTGGTATTTCTCAAAAGTCTGACCATAAATGACTTTGGGAGGTATTTGCAGAGGTTTTTCATGTGCAAGCCATAAACCTCCAACAGAAGTATTAGGTAGGAATGTGCATACTGACGAGGGTGTTTCCACAAACATATTTTAAAATGCCCAGATCAATCAGTCCTAACATTTGCCTCCTGCATCTCTTGTGTAGGTTGGAGTTGGCTGCATGGTTCCTGTCCAAGGAAGGATAACCACCATAAATCAGGGTAACTTGCATAGCAAGAGCTCTGAGATGACATTCAGACTGACATGACTTTGAAATCTCACGTGCAGGTTGTAAATGAGTGTCTTTTTTCTGACAGCACCACATTCCCAGTGTGTGAACTCATGAGTACCTGGAAAGATGTTGCATCTTTCTTAGGAAACCATCTGGCAGCTTGGTCCTCACCCTCTTCTTACAAAGATGACTCAGCTTCTGCCATCCATGTGCCCGTCTCTGCTTTTCTCTTTGATTTCCATACTGCCCTCACCAGCCAAACATCTCAGTGACTTTCTGCTGACGTGTCCAGCAGTGCCTATTCAGCAATTTCCTAAGGCTCAAGGTCCATGGTCACGTAGTTAATGTTCTGCTGCAGTTGCCTTGGCTGGACCAGGCAATGTGCAATGGAGGCCAGACTGCTGTCTGCTAAGACAAGCTAAACTCCTCACTGACATCAAAGAAGAGAAGACATCCCTAGGAGACTGCTTTAGGCAAAAAGATTGGCAGGTAACTGGGAGTCCTCTGAAGGCGCTGGCCAAGCTGAATCAATTACACACATTCAAGAGCTGATCCTGTCCAGCTCCTCAGCATTCACAGTGGTGCACAGTGAAGGTGTGGAGGGCATCATCCATGTAATATCAGCACTTGAGTGCATATTCCTGTGTCACTTCACACAGATGATTGTGTTAGGACCCTGTAACGGAGGTGTGCAACAAGCCCCTATCAGTGCTCATTGAGTTTACTCCTCCATAACAGCCTCAAGCACCATCACCAGTGAGTCTGTCATCATCTGTAGGACAGAAGTGGCTGAGGGAGTTGAACACTGCAGGGAAGCACAAGGCTATGAAAGCAGATCTCTGTTTCCTGTAGTAAGAAGAGATTACCAGGTTACCTGTCAGTACTGCTGAAGCAGGTTTAATTCCCGGGTCTGCTAAAAGCAACTTCTGCAAAGTCTGGCAAATTCTTGCTGTGGCAGAAAATTGTATTTGGTGCCTCCCCCATATTACTGGTGGAAGTGGAAAACTCAGCATTGGCTGATAAATGTGTTTTCTGCCATGTGAGCAGACTAGGGAAGTGTCTGATGGAAGGTCAGTGCAAAGAATCATTTTCTAGCCAAGTTATGGGTTATAATGGGAAAGAAAGACACCCATGGTGCTACGCAGGAAAGACATGGAATGACTTATCTTGGGGTTTTTCTGGTAAGACCAGAGCTATCTCATAGAGCCAGTGTGTTGGCTCATGGGGAAGTAGCAAGCTGCTGGCTGGATCCTGGTCATCCAGGCTGTTTCCAATATTTGTGAGCACATCAGGAGTGCACAGCAGCACTTCTCCAAAGAGCAGTGGGCTACATCTGTGCAGGTTGTGATCACTTTGTGTTTGCTAAGTTACTCTCCAAAGCAGATAGCTCCTTGAGGCAGCTCAGTGAGGGTTTGTAGGAATTTGTTTGGGGTTATTTTGCTCAGTTCTACCAGTCTGGCAGAATCTTCAGGGGATGTGCTATGTTTTGTATTGCCTTTCTCAGTCTTGATTTTCTACCATTAATACTTTAGGTTATGATCTTCTATTAAGAGGTTTTGTCAGTATGAAGCAAAAGGGAACAAGTTTTACCACCCCTGCTTGCAACCTGTTCTTTAATAAATCTCTAACATCTGGAAGTCTCTGATTTCTCTAACATCCATGTTGACTTTGGCTCAGGGCAGACTGAATCCAAATGCAATGTCTACCTGAGATGTAAGGTGCCTAGCTGAGATGTAAGGCACCTACCTTTGATGCAAGGCAGTGGTACCACCTTCCACCCCTGCCACTCTAACATGCCTTGAGAGCATGCAGAGGAAGGTGAGGCAGCACCAGAGGTGAGTCTGTGTGGTGTTTAGCTGATTGCCAGTAACAGGGGTTAGATAGGGTGTGTTATTGCCAGAGAAGCCATGTATGATTATCCATGGTGTTACCTTGTTCTGCCCAGTGTTGGTTTTAGTTTGTGCTGCCTGATTTTCTGGCCAAATGCATAGGGAATGCACCCCAGGGCCATGGAGCTGTGGAGGTACCTAATGCTCTACTGGTGCTAAACTTCCCCTTGCTTTCGTTGCTTGGGTTTGGTGCCCAATGCTTATTTGGATGTAGCACTTGGCTAGAAGAGGCACCTGACTCTGTCCGTTCTCCCTCTTCTCCTCTCCCACTGGGTTGCATCCTCCTTGATGGCAAAGCCACTTTTGCTTTCACTGGTGAGGAACCTAGAGCAAGTTATGCTTGGTGGGTGATGCACACAGATTTTGGCCTTTAGCAAAATCATTCGTGAGCCAATCCCATTTGCACATTTGTTAAGGTATCTTTCTTCTACTTTCAAACTTTCTTGTCCCATCCCCTGCTTCTGCATGCTGCCCCCCAAAAGGGCCTGAGTACAATGGTTATGGGTAGGTCTTTGGTGGGGACCAAGCAGGGGAGCTGATCACACAGTGGTGCATGTGGTCACATACGACCCTGCAGGGCTAAGAGCCAATTGTATTACCACATGGTAGGACATGGATTTCTTTCGTGGTTTTAGGTAATAATCTTGGGGGCAGGGCTCCACGCTCCTGCTTGACATGTTGCCTACACCTGAGATGCTGCTTGTGAAAAACAAAATGATAGTGATGAAACAGAGAAACTAAATCAGAGCTAACATGGCTGACAAAGTGGAGGAAGAAGAGGGTACAATGAATGTCTCTTGGTGAGCCCATGGTCCTGGGTCAAGAAGCCCTAGAAAGCTCTTCAGCTCCCGGCATCTCCTCTGAACATTCCCTTGTGTCCTCCTATTGTTAGTAGCTCTGTGGTTTTAAGCAGATCCATTGGTCCTCTTTAATATTCTATTTTCATGTCAACACAGGCGATGACTCCAGACTCCCTATCTGCAGATTATGCAGCCTCTGGGAAGGATGCACTTGCTCAGAGGAGTCCACCAGCAGGAGACACCTCCTTCAAGAGTTTTGAATGGCACCACCGCCAGGAAACTTTGCTATTTTAGTTCTAGTTGCCATCTATCACTGACACCTGCAGAGCCTCAGACTTCTCTTCCTTTTGCCAAATCCTCCCTGTCTCATCATGGAGCCATAACCAATGGGAATAAATCAGGGTTTTAGTAATTTGTTTGAATGTTGCTATGGAGCAGGTCATGGCGTCCAGTGCGAGGCCCTATTTGTGTAGTCACCAACAGAGGAAAGAAAACATTTGTTTTGCTTTAAGAAAGACCTCTTTCATGTGGAAAGGGCAGATGGCTCGGGTGGAAGGCTGTGGCCACCACAGGATGAGCTGCAGTGGGATGCATATTCCTTGACACAGCCCAACTGAGCAGCTCCGCAGATGTTCCTTTAGATTGGTTTGCACGTTGCTCAATGCACATCACACACCACAGCCAAATATTCATCCTCAGCTAAGAACTGGCTCTATTGTAGAGCAATTAAAGTAAAGTACCACCTCCTCCTCCCTAGCCCACAAGCAAACAGTGCTGTGGGTGAAGGCCAGTGGAGGAAGAATGACATCATGAAACCCAAGAGGGAAAGCAAACATCACACCAGCTCCATGCGCGGGTCAGCCACTGCGCCAGGACAGACATGCCTTTTTGTGACTTCTGTGCTCTCTGTGTGCTCAGAGGACATTTTTTGGGTTGCAATGAAGCATGGGTATTCTACACACGAAAACTAAGTGCAGAGCGATCTGTCCTTCTCCTGCTTTTCAAGTCCTAGTGGCGAATGTTGCACAACCTCCTCAGCACCCTGCCGTGATGGAGCTGTTTCCACATGAACCGTCAGAAGGCCAGTTAGCTGTGCTCTGACTGCAGCCCTGGATGGCAAGAGATTGGTCCCTGGCCCATGCTACTCCTGCTGGACAGGGCTTAGGGCTGGCCATCAAAGTGTGTCCTGAAAGCATGGAAACAACTCATTCCAGGCAGCAAGATTTCTCACACAGTAAAGTGCATCCTAATAGTATGCAATAAAGAGAAAACAGACTGTTTCTTACAGTGGCAAATAAACTACCTAAAACCCCATATAATTCTATTTTCTGCTAGGATGCAATAGTGGTGGCACCAGTCCCAGGGCTGCAGATATAACCTGCTATATGTAGGTAGATAAACTTGTATGCAAAATTAGGGTATCTGGGATGCAGTTCAACAGGATCACTTATAGGAATCTGTTAACATTATGTGGAAGTGCTGGTAGGATTGGCCTGATGTTTCCCAAGCTTCCCCTTACATCGTCTACTACCAGCAAAGCAAGGATTTAGTGAACTCCCTTGCTCAACCCCTCCAAAACCAAAGCCAAACATGGGCTCCTCTGGGAGTAAGGCAGGGTGAAGTCCCTTGTGCCCATCCCACCAAGCACCGGGTGCCTGCTCCAATGCACCCAACTTCTCTCTTCCCTAGTGGTGGGCTCCTCTTGTGCCCTTTTCATTTCCACCAGCATCTGCAGGGCTGAACATAGCATGAGCACCACCACCATCACACTGGGAGAAATCCGCAAGAGGTTTACTGAGCAATTCCTACCCTCATGCTACTGCTACATGCTCAGTCCTGTATGAGACCCCCCTATGCCCACACTACACACACTCCCAAGTAAAGAATATGGCCCTTAAACCAAAATTGTTATAAATTTATTATGAATATAAAACCTGTGCTGGCCAGGACTCACAAAGCAGCAGTGTCAAAAATAAACCCTCCTGGCACTACAAATCCCAGAGCCGAGGAGATTCGACTTTGTAAAAGACCCCCCACAACAGGGAATAAAGCCCCACATTTAACAACTTGTTTATTTCGTTTTGTTTCCTTGTAAAAGTAAGTTTGCCATGTTAACAAAAGCAGAATAGTTTTATTTAGTGTTCATCTCACACCTTGGACAGCTGCAGCTGTCAGGCACAGGAATACAGTATTAAAATAAACCGAATAAGAATTGCTCATCAAAAAGATCACACTAATGCAAACCTGTGGATTGGAACATCGACAGTATAAAATGTAACAAAATTGGAAATTTTAATTTTTAAGCTTTTAAAGATAATAGTCCAGGCTATAAAACTATATAAGCATTGAATAAGAAATGTTAAAGTCAACAAGTCTACAACAGATACATCTTGTAAAAACTCAATAAATTATATATATATTTATAATATCTAGTAACATTTGAAATCATGCACAGTTTTGTACATTTTCTTTTCTCAGTACAGGAAAACTCAACGCTTCCAGTACTTGGAATGTACACAATTAGCAGACATTTGTAAGAAAATACCAAAAAATTCTTTTATTCCAACAGAACAAAACAAAACTCTATAAAAATCTACCTTCTCAACCTTCCATTGAAGTAACCTCAAAACTATAAATTATTTCTTTTAGGATAAGGATTTTGTGGCTCTAAGAAAACAAAATAATCTTAAAATGAGATGCTCTCATCCTGTTATTCTGAAACATTGATATGTAATATGCACCAGAGGAGAACTGAAAGGATGAATTCAGGATGCAATTTTCCTTGCCTCGTTGTGGTAGTGAAGTCTTCTGGACAAAAAAAGCCCACTCATAAAAATAACCCCAGCCCAAATCTTCCCCCTTGTCAGCTTGATCCATGCTAATATTCCCTAGTTCACATCTGTGCTTTTAAACAGCTATCTGACATCAAGGAACAAACCCAGCGCAGCATTTTAAACACAGAAAATGGGGCACCACTGGCACTTTCCAGTGTGTTAGATACAACAGAAACACGCAGTCGCTGCACCTCTCCTGCAAACACTGTCGCTCTTCTTGCTATTTTGCTCGCATGGCATTTCTGAAGCCCAAAATACAATGGTACTGGCAAAAGGGGCGAAAAAAGTTACCCCGCATCATCCAAAATCAACAGTGTGTTTTGCTGCACACCGGTTATTAAATCGACCACAAAGAATACCTTCATTTGAAAATAGAAAAATAAACACCCCCCGCCCCCTTAATGCACAGTGGTTAAACTGATGGAAGAATTCTTGGCCCTGTTTTTCTGAAATATGTAAAGAATCATCTCTCTGCTGCTATTTGTTTGGTTTTAACCACTGGTGATGTATTGAAAAATAAACTTACCTTTGCTCACTGCAATCCAGGATAAACTAATATTTTGCTTTTTAATGAATATATATATATATATTTATAACATTAAATGTACTTTGTTAAAGGACTGTACACCTATACACTCTTTCAATATTTCCCATAAACACAAAAAAGAAAAACTTGATTAATATATTTTTTCTCCATTTTTTAATAAGTTAAAGAAAACCCAACCCTTAAGCTCGGTGAACTTTAAAGTTTACAGTAACGCTACGCTATTTAAACCCATGAACAGATAATGTTAATGTCTATAAATAACTTCTTTACAAATATACATGTTAAGGTACAATTTTTAAAACAAAACTGTGAAGATATAAAACAAACAAACACAAAAATCTTTTCTTTTCGCCCAGATCAGTATATCCTAGATTGCAATGCTCCTATTTTGAGACTCTCTCTCTCATTACTGCTTTATGTTGCATTAGTATTATACATTCTTTTTTTAATATATTTATTTATATATATACAGGATATATTTATAGATATATACACAGATTCTCTGGAATAAACCTTTTTGATATAAGTTAAAGGCTCTTGCCTACAGGTACCCGTAACTTCTTTCTCCGAGTCACTGCACGTAGATGGAGCCAAACCGCTGGTGTCGAGGGGTGGATGGAGAAGTGCCCACTCACCCTTGGCAAGCAAAGATGCACAAACCCCAAAAGCAAGATTTTTCTCCCCAAAGTGGTTGTTCTCAAAGGTCAAGATGTGGCTTGAGACGCCCATCCCTGGGGTCTGCTCCAACCTCAGCATGGCCCCATTGCTCCCAGCCCAGTGCAAGGGCCAGTGGCATGGCCAAAGCACTGCCATTCAGATGACTTGTCTGTCTCCTTTTATGTTCTTTTTTTTCCTTTCTCCATGATGATTTGCATTTTACTTAATTATCATTTTTTCCTCTTCTTCTTCCAAAAAGGATTTTTTTCTATGTAGCTGGGCAGAACGATCATGAAGCTATAAAAACGACGACAACAAAAATATAGATATTTTTATAAATATATGAATCCCTGCAGGCAACGTGGCTTTTCAGCTCCACCAAAAAGGTTCATGTACAGATTGCATAAGCGAAGAATTTCTACATTCTTTACACTTCTTTTTTTCATTTGTGTTTTTTCTTTCTTATTAAAAAAAAAAAAAGGAAGATTTTCTTTCCTCTTCTTCGTATTGCAGGCACAGTACGGCTACTCTGGCACTGGAAACGCAAGCGCGGAGGCTGGGAGGTCAGTGGCCCCCCAGCTTCAACATTCTCCTTAGTACAAAAAAAAAACCAACCAAACAACCCAAAAATGAACCCCCCCCCAAAAAAATCTCAGATATGATAAATCATCTTGGCAAGAGATTAGTTCCTTCAGGCCAAACAGTGCTTCTTGACTCTTTATACAGCAAAAGGGAAAAAAAACCAAAAGAACCAAAAAAAAGTTAATTATATTTCTTTTTCTACCCTGAACAGCTTGACAACAACACACATCTCTGGGCACCACCATGCAGTTCCACTGGAAGATCCTTCATCCTTGGCACCCCACATTCCTGTCTCCATGGGCACGCTGCCTGCCCGTCCGTCCATCCATCTTTCTGCCCAGGATGGCTTCCTCACGTCCGGATGACACCGTTGCAAGGGGGGTGCTTGGGCAGGCAGGGCTCATCGGGCAGCAGGTCATGTGCAAAGACTGAGTCATCCCCCGAGGAGCACGTGCTGTGGGTGTCCTGGCCAGCTGGTGAGTACTGCTCGAAGGGCACCGAGAGGTCCAGGTACTCCTGCCAGGGCAACACACCCATCAGTGCTGGGTGCCCACAGTGGGGACCAAGCAACCCCTCCCTGTGCCCACCCCATCACACTCACATCGGTGGATGTCACGGTGAGGACCCTGTCCAGGTCTTCCACCAACTGCTTGAAGGTTGGCCGCTGCGAGGGGACAGCGTGCCAGCATTCCCGCATGATCATATACCTGTATGAGAAGGCAAAGGGGACCATCACCCATGGTGAGGCTAAGTGGCACTCAATCACCCCCAGATCACTTGAGAGAACAGCTATGGCCAATGCAACTTCAGCCATGGAGACCTTGGTGCATGCATGGCCAGTTGAGTAGAAGAGGAGGAAGGTTTTGTGGGGCCATGATCCTCGTCACTGATCAACTCGTGTGCCCATGCTCTCAAAGCAGAAGGACCTGTCCTAAAGTGACATACCAGAGTTGCAACCCCAGCCACCACCTATCAAACCAGGGCAGGCACGTTACACAGCTCAGCAGTCATGGGCTGAGCTGAAATGAGTAGGGGTGGGTAAGCTTATCTGGAGATGGCATAATCTCACAGTGGGGATGCCCCAACAGACCCAACCACAGCTTCAGGTGGTATTTGGCCACAGAGGGAAGGTGTAAGGACATCAGCCCCATCACACACTCACAAGTCATGGGTGCAGTTTGCAGGTTTATCCATCCGATGGCCTTCCTTCAAGAGTTTGAAGAGTTCTTCAACAGGAATTCCCGGGTATGGAGACCCTCCCAAAGTGAAGATCTCCCATAGTAGCACTCCAAAAGACCAGCTGGAAACCAAAGAAACATCTTTAAAATTCAATGAGGTTTTTTCCAAGCCCACCCCCCCCACACCATATTCCCTCCCCCCGCTTGCCTTTATTTCTGTGCAGCCATGCATATCTAACAGAGTCATCAATAGCATGACTAATTGCCTAGGCCATTTTTACTAGTTACTTGGAGATCTCTGCTGATCCAACTCAATAGCAAAGAAATCCCAGGCACCAAGTCTGAAATTGAAATGAGCATTTAATCAGATAGGTGACAGCCCATCTATCACCCACAGCTCTTTGTTAGGTCTTCCACCAGCTCCACTGAATGGAACAAATCAAATTATTCATGCACGGCTTCACTGAATTGCAGGCTTGGAACCACAGGCCACTAATTGTGCAAGCTGATACCAAAACTTGCTTGTTACAACACTCATTTCACTGGCCAAGCCGGGAGGAAAATACCCCAACAAGCATCAGTGGAGCACTAACGTTACACACTCCAGTCCTGCAGCTGCGCCCTGGGTAAAAGTCCTCTTTTTCAAACATATCTTTTGCCTTCTTCATTTTCTTTTTAAAAACAGGGATTATCTGTCCCTGTTTCGCTTTCACGCACGCTCGCTCTCCCGTTCTCTAGCTTTGATTTATGTGTCATGCCCGCTGCAGCATTACCTACGCACGGAAACTATGATTTAAGATCAATGAAAGCCAAAATATGTGAAAAAATACAGAAATAGATTCATTTGTCCAATTGCAAGCGGTGAGCTTTGGGGAGCAGGCACTGAGTTAGTGCAGAAATGCCATTATCAACCACAGGTTGAAATAAAAAAGCCGGCGTGCATGCTGAGCTAGTTCAGCCCTTGTGAAGTTCAGACGTGACACAGATTTACACATGAGGCAGGCTCTGCTGTTTGCTTACCATGCAGAGGCACTAAAACGGACAAGACAGGATTAGGAAAAATAAAGGAAATAAATGAAGCAGCAAAATTAATCCAAGAATGTATTTGTTGAATAGTCTCTGATCAACTCTACTAACAGCAGACAGAACGTTTCAAGCTCATCCCGCATACTCAGCTGAAATGCAACTGTCTGGGGCAAAGTGTGCAGGAAGCCAAGGGCAATTCTTCTGCATGGAGTTTTCTTTCTGCACAGTTTTAGAGTGAGGAGGAATCACCTCATCTGTAAAGGACTAAGGAATACCTGTGCTTGCCTTCCAACAATTTTTCAGCAGCTCACTAGAGATCCTCGGATGAAAGCAACTAGATAACAGTAAAACAAAACCACGTGTGCAAAGCTGCAGCTTGCAATCGAGCCATTTCCTTTTGCATCCCCAGGCACCCCAGCAGTGAAGGAGCCCTGCTCATGCCTAACAGTACTTTGTCTTTAAGATACTATAGGTGTTGGTTTCCTGGTAATTTCATTATTTTCCTTTTAAAGTGAGGGTATGCTTACACATCGCTCTGGTGAGTATAGACCCGGTCAAACAAAGCTTCTGGAGCCATCCATTTCACAGGCAGCCGACCCTGTAATTAGGAAGACAATGGGAACATCCCATCAGCATATTCCCCCAGCCACAACGGCACCATCTGAATCTTCTTTTCTAATCCAGTTTGAAACATTTTCATTAACAGCCACATCTGCCTTCCCGGTCACTGGGCAAAGCAGGAGTGGCCACGTATAAACAGATTAGAGCATTTGATCCCTGGATCTTCGCTGACGATCTGTGCAGTAAATGCTCTCTGTGGAGGACTGTATTTCACTGCCAAGGCAGGTTTAACGTATCAGCGCATCTAAATCTTTGCATGGGAACAGCATCCATTGCTCATAAATGCAGCGAGCTCTGCAGCTGAGCTTAAGACACTTCCCATCTCTTTGGTTGGAAGAAGCAGTTGACTCAGAGTCTGAACCTGGCTTGGGCTGAACTTGAAGGGAAATTTCCAACATTGAAGACAAGGGCATATCCTCTAAGAAACAAATCCTGATCCTGCTGGGGGCTGAAGGAGGAGGCCTGACCCCGGGTTTCCTGGGGAACATCCTACATCAGGGTCATAAACATGGGTTGTCACATCTGAGATATATGAGATGACAAAGATCAGATTAATCATAATTCTCTGGGGCGTTGCTTGGCCCCTGGAGGGAGTCAGGAAGGACTGTTTTGTGTTTGAGGCATAATTCGGCTGCAGGGGGATTCTGTCCTCTTCTGACCCCGTCTCACTGTGGCAGACAACTAGAAACAGGACATAGGCAGGATGCACAAACAGGATTATGCTCTCAGCTGTCCAACACAGCTCTAACAGGGAAAGTCCATCTGACCTATGATTTAAATTCCCAACAATTGTCATTAATTTTTGATTAAGAAATCTTTGTAATTAAGAAAGATTTTTGATGTGATATTGCAAAGGACCAGTATGGACATGGTGAGCTTTGTAGGACTGCCTGGATATCAGACCTCTTGTAGTCACAAAGCCTCAGGTTTTGCAATGCCTTCAACGCCTTCCATTGCCATCTCTGAACTGTTGTAGTTGCAGCTTCAGGTATAGAACCAGGTGATATTTCTATGTCAAGGACTCTGGTGGGACAGAAGTTGGCTCCTTGGGACCTTTACTCACAGTAATGGAACAGACTGGAAAGGGCTCCATTCCCCTTTGGTTAAAAACTCAGTTTCTCTTAGCCTAAAGCCTCCTGGCCAGAGCTGACACCTCATAATCAGATGCTAGCAGCAGCAGTATCTGTCAGGAAGAAAATGAATGGTGGGTGTATTGCTGGGACCAGCTTATCTACAGTTCCTCCCTAGGTGATGCCACCAGCAGATTTCTTCCTCCTAAGCCCCCCTAGAAAGGGAGACGTGGGACAAGGGTCACTTGCTGCAGGGATGACTGAGCTGCCTGTCAGAAGGAGAACTGCATGTCCTTGGCAGCTCTATACTTACATTGGTAGTTTTCTTGTAATAGTCGATGTTGTGGACGTCTCTAGCGAGGCCAAAATCAGCTATTTTCATCACATTGTCTTCAGTGACTAACACGTTCCTGGCTGCCAAGTCGCGATGAATGCACTGTGAAAGGTGAGCAAGTCAATAAATAAGGGCTTGTTAGCTGCTCGTGCCTGGAACCAACAGCACCGTGTGGTTTATGAGCTGCCATTTCATTGACTCCCAAGCTCATAAAGCTGTGGGCACTGCTTCACTCCTCACTTTCTGTGTCACTGCCCCATCATGCATACTCGGTGGGAGCCACCTCTTAGCAACACCTAATTGGCAGCCGCTGCGCTGACACAGCCATGCACCTTTTCTCTCCAAAGGGGATGATGCACAGATGAGAAAGCTCACCCTCCTCTTATGTGGGCACTTACTGGGATGTGAAGCTGCTTTTCTGCCCTGCTTCCTCCAGGAAGAGGAGTGCAGGCTGATGTTTGAAGGAAATAATGTCCTAAAATTAAGACGTCCCAAATACATACACAATACATAGAATCACAGAACAATGCAGGTTGGAAGGGACTTTTAAAGGTCATCTAGTCCAGTCCTCAATATCGCAACTGTTAGCTGAGGAAGAAGCTAGATTAGCCTGCACTGTGCAGAAAGAGTTTAAAGCCACCAAGAGCCATCCACCCTGAACTGCAGTCACAGGACAAACACATCTGACATCTGAAGCTGAAGTTGCTCTGGCCATAGTGCTCCCTGCCCACAAAAGAGGACACACTGATTGGTGCACAGCTTTGTGAACCCAAAGCCTGATTCTCCACTTGCTGATGTCAGAGCAAATCAAGACTTAATCCCAGGGTATGATGTAAGCAAACACAGCAGCCAGCTCAGTGCCAGCAAAGTGCTCCCCAGGGAGCATCGTAGCCATATCCATGTATTGAGCCAAATCCACCACCAGTTCCACTCCGACTGAGCCTAAAGTACTGGAGACAGCCACAAACACGTGAGCTACACCCAAGATCTCAGCTTCCTCATTAGTGCTCTGCATCTTTAGTGCTCTCAGAAGGAAGATCAGGGAAGGATCAGAAGGAAGGACAGGGGATGCAGATCCCGACTGTTGTCTAATGTAGCAGTGACATGGTGGAAGCTTCAACTTGGCATGATGCTCACCCTGACCGCTGCTGCCCGAGCCTCAGGATCACACATCCGAAAGACAGATACCTCTAGAAGTGACAGAGGTTGAATAGGTGAGGACAGGCAGCAAGGTCTGCATTTTTTGTGCTTTCATATGCATTTTGGGGATACTAAACAGGCCTGCAGGTCACAGCGAGGGCTGTACAGCTGCATGATTCATGAATGCAGCCAGCTTATAGGAACTTCTGCATATGGATGAAGCCTCGAGCAAAACACTCAAGACACTTCATACAGAAAAATGTGGTCTCTGAAGGGAGAAGCCTGCCAACACTTTGCCTGAGGTTGTCCTACACACACACAGAGCATTGAACGCCTTTGAACACACGGGTCTGACTGATGCTTCTACCAAATGAGGTTTCTCAACTCACTTTCTGAGATGCCAAGTACTCCATGCCCCGGGCCACCTGGTAGGCGCAGGAAACCAGGTCTTTAAATGTCAACTGCTCCTCGGGCAGCTTGCAGGTGTCGAAGGAATAGTCCATGCCAGGTGGGCGACGTGCCCTGAGGTATTCCCGCAAGTTCCCCTTTGACGCGTATTCCACCAACACATAGAGCGGTCCTGCAAGCAAGAGCACATCAGGATCCAGCGGAGGAACAGCCCAACACCAAAAGCTCATCTGGGATGTTCTGGGCAACCAGAGAGTAGTTACACAGAAGGGACAGTCAAACCCAAGCCTCCCACAGCCCTGCGAGCTGCTTTGCTACGTACCGTCCTGTGTGCAGGCACCAAGGAGGTTAATGATGTTTTTATGCTTCCCAATCATTTTCATCATTTCCATCTCAGAGACCAGGTCAGAAAGGTCCTTGTCTGTGGCATCGTCTGGGGAAAGCAAGAGTGGAAAGCAAAAATGTCAGGAGGAAAGTAAGTGTTTTGTGAAGCAGTCAATACAACTGCTGCATAGACACGTGGGGTTTTGGTGGGGAAAACAGAACGCAAAATATGGCAGTGCTTGTTTGTTTTTATCCTGCTTTGGGAAGAAGAATCAAAACCAAAGCTAACTACCGCAAGGAAAGATAAAAACCCAAATAAACTGAGATAAACATTCATACGCGAATTAACAAAGCCTTTCATCTTCTGCTTCATCCTGTGAAGTATTAAAGAAATAAAGCCACTTTTAGTACTTGGGATAATTTTGCCTTTCTGATTGTTTTCCTCCCTCACCTCCATGGGCAAAGAATTAAGGACTGTGGAAGGTCAGAGCTGGGAGAGGGGCTACAGGAAGGAATGCATTTTTTTGCATGGAAAGTTTTCTGCAACAGTAGAAAAATAAGAAGAAACGTCCCCAAATGAACGCTTTGGTTTAACAAGACGGAAATGTTCCTGCTTCCAAAAGCAACTTCAGAATGACAGAAATGTAAATTAAACAAATCCTTTTCTGATAAGAACTGTTATTTTTGTAAAGCTGTCACCCCATGCAACCTCAAACCCGGGCTGCTCACTGCTGGAGCATCTGCCCTGCTTGTTCCAGCTGAACTCCCCAGGGTGACTTTGTCTGCATGTTGTCTGTGTTTACTGTGTAGAGGGTAAGGATGGGAACAGACTCGTGTGAAGGTGCTCAGTGACTCCTCCACTTCTGGCTTCCCTTTAACATCTTGGGAGTTTGGGATCAAGTGTCTTTAGTGAAGAAACTCCTCACAAAGGAGTCTGTCAACCAAATATCTGCAATCTTCACCTGAGCTTGTTGCACGAGGCTTTGTGAGAACAGGCAGCGCTGGTTACAGGAGGAGTAAGGAGTGGGCTGATTCACAGGGCTGGCTAGACGGGAAGGGGGTTCCCCTTTTTCTCAGGGATGCTATTACTCCTTGGCAAAGAAACGGGTTAATTCCCAGTCCCTCTTCCTGATGGGATTTGCACTTTTAGGTGCTCTCCAAGGAGACAGCCATTGCCCTCAGGCTATCTGGGTGAAAGGGGTGAAAAGCTGTTCTTACTTTACTCTATTGTATCTGTATAAAAGACTTAGAAGAGAAGAGAGGAAACCCCAGTGCAAGTTGCTGTTCTGCTCTCTGTAGAAATCCCATACCTTTTAACATCTTGACAGCAACCGTGATGGCCTTGTTTGGCTTGTCCTTATCGATCCCAATCGCTTCCGCCATCACTACTTGGCCAAAACACCCTTCACCTAGCGGCTTCCCCAAGGTCAGGCTGAAGGGAGGAACAAGCAGTCACATTAGTGGCTATCAGGATGGTGGCATTACCAGCAGGCACTGGGATTGCGACCCGTGGGTTTGACTGACCGAGAGCGCGCCAATTCCCACTTGGGATCTGGAGGCAGTTCCAGCTCGGAGACATTGGCCAGCATCGGCCCATCGCTGGAGGAGAGACGTGTGATCCGGACCAGGGGCGTGTTGGAATTCATGGAAGAGTTGGACTCCAACGACACCTGCTTGGGTAGAGCAAATGAAGTGTTATTGCCAACTGTATTCCCAGGCTGGGCACTGCCTGAGATGGATCATGGAGAGGGTTTGAGCTGTCTTTGTTCAGTGACACCTTTCTGGCAATTTCTAAATGGGAAACCCTCTACTTCTCCCCACTTCCTTGCAGAGCTGCACTGCAGTCAGGTTGTTAGCTGGTGGAAAGGAGGGATAGGTCAGCTGTGCCCTCTAGCAGCCAGGTTTAATCCATTCATTTGTTCCATGTGTGTCTCCACAGCATGTACAAGCTACAGAATGACTTCTGATTCGGCACTGTAAATGCCTACCATGAGCTTGCAGCCAAAGCCGTGAAATCTGTACTCCTCACTCTGTGGTTTTACATGGTGCCTTTTCCTCCTGCCCCTGTCCAATGACACGTGGCAGAGCATCACTAAGTGCATGGAGAAAGAGGACCCTCTCCCACCTCCATAAGAATTGGCTTGGGTTCATCAGTGACCTCTGTGAAAGCAGGGACACGCACAATTAAACGTGCTCCATGCTTCCCAAGGAGCTCCTCCAGGGAGCCTGGACTAAAGTGTTCCCCTGCAATATGTGCCTTCTGCGGCATCCATGGCTGCACTGCCAGCCCCTTTTGGACAAGGGCAACTGAAACATAGCTGCTCATGAACCAGAGTCAGCTGCCACCAGCTACTGCTCCACTGGAACAGAAACAAATCAATAGGAGGGGGTTAAACTCCTAGATGCAGCCAACTTATGTCCCTCTTGGGCAGTGTTTTCCTGGCAGAATGCTGGACCTAGAGAGAACATTTCAGGGAGGGGAAGAAAGAGAGGGATGACCATAGGGGGGAATAGGAATCTTGTATCTACTTTCTGTTACCTGTCTCTTTAGTGGGAATTTGGAGACTTTCTGTACAGTGGGGGTGTTCATGGCTTTTTTGTTTGGCATTTTCATCCTGCAGACAACCACAGCGGCCACCACCAGGACGAAGAGAATAAAGCCAATGCCGTAACTGAAAATGCCAGCATACACTGAGCCCGAATCATCCATTTCCATGAGCTCCTCCGCTGCGGGGTGACAAGAGACACCAGTCAGGATGGGGTAGGCAGATGCCTACATGCAACTATACAAAAGCAGTGCAAAGAATTTGGGGAGGACTTGCTCATTTATGCGAATCTGGTGAGTGACTTCAGTAAGGGGGCTCTCCCAGGCCAGTGGTTTTCAACCTGCTGCTGTAGCTAAAAGAGTTGGCCTTTGGGGGTGTAATTTTACTGCACTTTGATGCAACCCTGGGGTTTCTAAGAGCCTTCAGCCCACAGGTTGAAAACCAGTGCTCTAGGCTGAAGGCATCACGTTTGTGCTGTTCCTCTGATCCGGATCTTGCTTTCCCCACCCATCCACACATAGCTGGATGTCTTGGATGTGCAAAGGCTGCAGGATGAGGGTTTGATGCATTTTGCTGATTTGACTTCTCCAGCAAAGATTTCCACTGGACCAGTGCCTGCCCTGAGGGACCAAGGAGCTCAAAGGGCACCCAGGGGTAAGGCATCACACAAGGCAAAAGCCTCACAACCGGCACAATTATTTAACGGAAACTTAGCTCTGCTGAGAAGAGGCTGGAAGGTCTGACCCAGAGAGGTGGCTGAGCTGGAGTGATGGCATGAACCAACCAGTCATGGCTACCTGTTAGCAAGGCTTTTTTGGGACCAGCAAAGCTCAGCTGTGTTTCTCCCCTTGTTCCTTTCAGGACAGGCACAGACAGCGGAGGAAGAAGGACTGGTGGGACTGGTTTTCCGTTCCCAAAAGGCGTGCTGGCATCAGAGGAACAGTCAGCGGTGGGAAACTTTATAATGAAGTCATGCCGGCGTGGTTAGCTCGCTAACGGATCATGTACATCACTGCTGCCCCAAAGCAGCATCTTCGGCAAGCAGCAGGAGCTTTCCCCTGGCAGCAGCAGGCTCCACATCTGTTCTTCAGTGGCTGTGTCCAGGGGGACATAGGGAAAGGGCTGTCGGTGACACTAGGGGCTGTGTCAGCGGTGCAGGGCCTGATCCTGCATGGAGCCATCTCCTCCTGCGAGGAAGGGTTACCAGACCTCCTGGGATCAGATGTTGGTGCCACAGCCCTGCTGCTTCTGCTCCACATCTCCCGCAGTATGGACAGGGAATTACAAGCAGTCGGGCTGTATCCTGTGCCCTCTCTGTGGGCAGCACTCTGGGGCCTGCTGCTGCACAGGCAGCTGTCAGTCACTGCATCTGACTTCAGTATAAAGTTCCACTTCGGGGTTTTTGGTGGGTTTTCTCCTGCTTATTCTTTGCTTAAATGAGAGGTGTGATTTGACACACGGTAAAAACAGTTGGATGAGACAGCACCAGGGGGTTTTCAAAATAACAGAGACATCAGTCTTATAACCAAAGGAAACAATTTCTCATCCAGTGGATAGCAGAAGCAGAAACAGGATCAGATCAGCTATTATAGAGCTGGCAAATACACAGGGGAAAGACCAGCAGCAGGTTCAAGCATGAAAGACACCTTGAGCCCCAGAACAAGCGATTACATCCGAGCCACCCGCACAGATAAAGTCAAGATTAGAAATGCCACAGTTCCCAGTTCCTAAACACATCCTGAGATGGATATGTTGTGAGTTGGACCCAAATGTGGTCTATGACTGCGTGAGCCAAAGTGGGGTGTACAGGATTTTCTGCGCCCTTTCAGTAAAGCTCTACTGAACATACTCCAGGTCTGTCCCTGCACTCTCTGCAAGGCACAACACCCATGAGATTCTCTGTGAATACTGCTGGTGCTTTCCTGGAGTGTGCTCAAGCCTGCCCCATAGGTGGAGGCAGCTTCTGCAGGTGAAGGGACAGCACAGTCTCATTCCCCTCTTTTGAAGAGCAGACCTGTCTGTTGCATATTCTGTGCCGACTTTATTGTCAATGAGAGCTTTTGCACATGAAAGGACCACAAAATTGAGGTCACCCTGGCCTTGAGTTTTTAAGGCTGCTGCAGCTTTCATTGATCCCAGCTGGAGCAGGCAGCACGCAATGCCCCTGGGAACCGGGACTCCTGGGCTCTGCCTCCAGATGAGTCCCCTCGACCTTCTGTTTGAGATCGCTGCCTTGGCCTGTTCATCCATGAAGTGGAAATAATGCTATAGGCAGGGAAGGGTGTACTCACACCAAGCACTTATGCATCTCATTTCAGGTTAAGATACGAGATGAGACAGAAAGGTTCCTCCCTAAGATGATCCACAGGCCATGTCCAATTTAGGTGCCCTGGATCACCTGATGGGGAGGTTTCCTTCTCCCACTGTCAGTGTAAAAAGATAAAGCTCTTAAATTTGGCTTAACAAGGAGGCTGTGAACACTTCCCTGTTATCTAGATCCTAGAAGACACTGGGCATTCTATGTCATTACTGCAATAATAATGCAAATGGTGAGCTGCAATGCAAAAAGTGTCAGCTGTGAGTATGCAACAGGAGCCTGCAGCAAATCCCAGAGGATCTGCTCCCAAAGAACACCCCCTCTTTCCAAGCACGGGGCGGTGTGAAGGAACTTGGCATTTCTAGAGCAAAACATCAAGGCACCCTGGAGAGGAGAGGCCAGCAGAGAAGAAAATACCTGGTAGCACCGTCAGCCAAGCAGAGTGATGTGAGAACCCAATAGAATTCCCTGCGAGACAAGTATATTCCCCAGCATCCTCAAAAGTAACATTTCGCAAGTACAGAATCTCTAGCTCCTTATCCGTTGTGTTAACACCTGCCGTCTACGGGGGAAAAAAAACACACACGTATAGAAAAGAGGGAAAACAGAGAATAAGCCACATTCCCAGCAAGTGTGAGGACACCACAGGCAAATCTCAAAAGCAGATTAAGGTGGTTTGGTTTGCATTATTTTCCAATGGCCCATCTTCCACATTCATTTATTCATTCCCCTCTGCAACCTGTAGTCAAAAGCAAAAAAAGGTTCCCTTCACCAGGTTCTTACTCTGTCCCACTAAAGAAGCATGCAAGCAAAGGCATCCAAATGAAAAATTGCCCCCACAATATGACTGACTTCAGGTTAGTAGGGTGAGTACAAGGGTGGGGAAAGGAGGGTGGTAAAAGAGAAGAGGAAAGACAGAAAGAAAGGAGGAAGGAGGGGAGATGTAGTGGGGAAAGACTCAAGTGCTGACCAGAGGAATATACAAACATTTTGGTTCATTTCATCCAAAAACCAATGAAATTTGGGGATTTTTACAGATTTTTCAGAGTGGGCATCTCAAAGCATGTATTGAGTATACAGCCCTTGATACTGCACTATAACTCTGGCCAAGAGCAAGAAAGTGCCTGTAAAGGAACTTTCCTGCAGTGGCACTGAGCAACACAGCAGCCCAACCCTCCAGGCTGGAGTCAAACCCCAGAGCCCAGGAGATTGCTGCCGCTCTCTCTAGTTAACATGTTTCCTCACATGTTGACATTTATTTCTCCATTACTTCTCCAAGGGACAGAAGTGATTGTATCAGTTTTACAGGTGAAAATCTCCAAACAGCTTGGGTTTCCAGAGCTTTGAACGTCACAGGTCATTAACATGCAATTCTGTTATCAGCACTCAATTGTAAAGAAGGGAAAGGAATAAAAGCGTGAAGAGTTGATAGCAAAATCTGACAGTCATTTTATTGTGGGAATTTTTCCATGGCAATTGCTGTATAGGCGTCACATTCTTGTTTAAAAAAAATTAGCAAGAAAATAAGATCAAGCCATTCAGCGTCAGTTGACAGGGTATAATACAAAATGAATAGGAATTTTAATCACTAGCTTCTTAAAATTGTTATAGCTCATTCTCGCAGTTGCCAGGGCCTTGGGACAGAGTCTGTGGTTTACCTGGTTTTGGTTTGCGAATGTGGAGCCAAAATGGTTTTTCGGCTATGCCTACGAAATTGTTGGCTCTACACAGATATTCTCCTTCATCTTGTTCTGTCACATTGAACAGATTTAGGTTAGCATCGGCTTCAGCGTTTTTACTGATCCAAGACTGCAGGAATAGACAGAAACCTGAACTTCAGTAAACCAAGCAATACCTCATCACACCTATATCAGCTAGGATTGACTATTCACGGCTATTTTCGGCTGTGGCAACATCCCCAGCTCACCCTATGGTGAGAGACTTAACCCAGGACCTGGGTGAGGAAGAGGAGTTGCATTTGGCCCCCAAACCACGTGCAGGTGAACGCCCTTCCCTTCAGACAGACCAATTCCCCACTTCTCCATCAGACAGCAGAGGCCCTATGGTTTCTCCGTAACTCATCAGACAGGAGCACCAGAGAAAGGGCTTAAGCAGAGAATTGTGTTTGCAACCCAGCTCAGCAAATACTGTTTCAATTATCAGATTCCAAAATAGAATTTGGAAACAAAATATAAGCAGTGGCGGTCTGAAAACTCACTGCTGACTTTGCCTTTCAGAAATTAGCTGTAATTTTTTCCACTGCTTATAGGAGCCTCTTCTTTACTAAATAAAGTGGTGCACATAAATCAAACAAACTTCAGACTCTTAACCAAGGCTTTCATTTCTCTTCTTCCACGCTGCCACAACAGCACATCAGGTTTTTTTTCCCTAAACACCAAACAGTTGTTTTTATTTTGGTTGAAAATGCACAACCATTTTGGGTGGCCTCAGAAGCAGCCTAGGGAAAGTCTAGGAAAACTACCAACTGAAGTTCTGGAAATGAAAATAAGCCAATTGCTCTTCTCATTTTTGGTCTCTCCAGCCCAGTCTCAGTGCCTTCAAGGCCTGATCCTGCCAATATGACTTGCAGCCCTCTAACATCAACCGGGCTGCCAAATCTGATAGGTTATTAAGAACTGAACCCACAGGTGGCATCAAAAGGAAGCCCCAATATTCATGGTTGACAAACAACACCAGTTTTGACCTGATCTCATCCCTAAGGCTTATGTGCTGGCAAGTCTGTCTGTCCTAGCAGGGAAACGTGCCTGCCTGCTGTTGCTGCCTTGTTTATAATTAAACCGGGCATGTTTCAATGCAGAACATACAGTTTAGCCTTTGACAAAGCTTGGGCACAGTGCTGCCAGCCCACTCTCTGTAACTGGAATGCATTTAGTGCTCTTCTGCAAAGAAAAAGGGGTTTCCTTTGATCACAAATTAGCCCAGGCTTTCAAGAACTGATGCAGGTGATGGCTTGGTTTTGTCAGGCTGTTAAGAAATAGCTTGAAAGTACAGCATTCAATTTATCCAGCTGGACTGGGTTGGGTTTTGCTCCCCCCCTATTTAGATGTAAGGGGGGGAATTGCATGTGCTGGGCACCTCTCTGTTCCCCTTGCTGCAATGGAGACCATGATACTCCCCATATATAAACTGCCCCATAGCGGCTCCTACACTCCACAAAATCTCCTGAAAGCAGGAGGGAAGAGCAGGCTGATAAAAAAGCCTTATCTCCCTGGAGGCACCACAGTAGTGGGCAGGAGGGAGCCTTTTCTAAAGCAGCTGTAGGCACGGAAGGGCTGTTAACAGCACCTGGCTCCAGCAGCATGGCCAGGATGCTGGGTCAAAGCAACAGCAGTGTGTGGCACAAGGGGATCGAACCCATAAAGCCAGCAGGCGGGCCTCAAGAGGACAGTGAGATCACTTTATCAGATCTTTAGTTTTAAAATACAAGCACACACAACATAAAAACAAAATCCCTGCAAAGCTGGGCCTGACACAGCTCCATGGAGGCCCAGTACTAGTGCACAAAAGATGCATCCCAAAATGGAAATGCTCCATGCCCCAGCGCTGATGCCGGCATTAATACAATTCAAAGCATTCCTGATTAACCAGAAGTAGTAAATAGACGTGTGCTGGTCCTATTCAGCAAAAAAATAAAACCAAACAAAACTTGTGCATTCAAACTCCTGCCTGTGCTCCCCTTCGAGGAATGCGGAGCCTTTGCCGTTCACAGAAGAGAAGGTATTTGGCAATTCTAATTACCTAGCCACCCCGGTGCCGCTCCAACTTCATTTTAAAGCACTATTTATGCGGACTATTTATATGTTCTTTGCCACAGCAAAATGGGAGCTTGTGCTTGTGACACAAGGCACTGTTCGCAGCGGCTCTGCAAACTTCCAAAAGGTAGCACTCTATCCCACGGGGACCACACACGGAGCCCGGAGACTATACTAGATGGCATGTGACACAGGCAGCTATTCAGAGCTTGGTACTGGGCTGTGAAACCAGGGGGGAAATTCAAATATGCATAATTCAAACACATTTGGAGAGACAGCGAGGAAAGAAAACGTTCTATCAACTCGCGAGAAGCACGTGTTGCCAATCCTGAAGAACGGTCTCCAGCCATTTCTTCCAACCAATCTGTTATTTCAATCTGTGTAATTATTTCCAGGGTCTCTGGCTTTTATTATCATGTATCTGGCTGAGTTACAGTTCTGTAGATGATGTCTGATAAGTGGGGTGTTTTTTAAGCTTCATACAAAGAGACAGAGGGTGTGTGCAGCAGGATGTGTATGGGGTATGTCCATGCACAGGACAACCTCAGCTTGAAACTGGAGGGACAAAGTCTCCTTTCAGCTATAACTACAGAGCCAGAAAAACTCCATTTGGCCCTATACATTTTAATAAACACTAACACAGAATGCCTTGAAATGCTTAAAGGAAAAAAGAAATTTTAGACATCAAATGTGCTTTTCACTCTCCATTCTCTACCTCTTATGTTTACCTAGGTTGAGGGGAAACCAGACCCACTGGCTTTGTTCTGGCTGTAATCTGGAAATTCCTTTTCATGACAGCATTTTAGCAAAGTGAAGTCTTACTAAGAGAGTTTTTGCTCAATAAAGGTTTTCCTGAGCACGGATAATAGCAATGTTCACAAATGTTAGTGGCTGGAACAAGGCTGTCTTGGCTCTCAGGTGCTGGTAGCTCAGCATTATTTAGTATGTGCACGCTACAGTGTGTTTACATGAAAACGAAAGAATGTGTTTTAGTTGGGAGCCTTTTATTTTAGTAAGTGCTGAAAATACCTCTATTGAAGCTGTAAAAAAAAGGTTATTTTTACAATTTCAGGTCAAACACAATCTGACAGCTCTTTCATTATACTGCAATTCTCCCAGTTGTCTCAGCTGCTACAACTACTTTGCTTATCTATGCCACTACAGTAGTTGTGTTATCTCTGGCAAATAGAAGAGGCTGGAACATTGACTTTAGGACATTTTTGCTGTACCCCCTCCAAAAAAGCAGAGTATTCCACTGTGTGAGCTTAAAGAAGGACTGCCCTGAGGGTGAGAAGAGTGAGTGTGTACCAACCTTCAGCACTGTGACATAGGGCGTCCCATCAGGGCCGTATTTGCTGCCATTGACTTCCACATGCTTCAGCCATTGGATGTGAGGCTGGGCATCGCTGTAAACCTTGCAGTGAAACTCCACATTGCTCCCTACCACCACGGTCTGGTTGGCAGGGAGCCCTGCTTGCAGGATTGGTCGGTGGGGCGACCTCTCTGAAAAAGAGAAAATAGAGGGAAATCCTAATTAATTCACTTGTCCTTTTTGCAGCATGGATTCTTCTCTGAACCCTTCATCTCCTGCCCTTTCAGCAGAGAGGGTGAAGACTGGGACTGACCCCCAAAGGTGTTCTGGCCACCACTTTACCCAGTGCTTCTCAAGCCAAACAGGGAAGAACCATCCAGGAATGGAGGAGGCATCTCAGCCCTGCCATTCCTTCTCTGGCTCCTTTGTAGACCAGCTAAGTAATTTATTGATCAGATATCCGAAGCTGAACTGTTAGATCAAAGGATGCTTGCTGTTGGTTTTAGAAGACATATGATCCAGCATTTTGGGAAAGAAACCAAGCTCCCATTTCCCATATCCTGTCACACACCACAGATCAGCCGTTGAAGGAGAACAGTGAAATCTCACCTAATACATCGAGCTGGTACGTGTGCCTAATGTTGCCATATTTGTTCTCCACAACACAGGTGTAATTTCCTCGATCTGATGGCACAACACTCTCCATCACCAAGCTCCACTGCTGGTGTCGCAACTAGAAGAAGAAATTAAACCATCAAGCTTGCGGTCAAGTACCATCACCACCAGACTATTCAAACCAGTGAACAATCAGTGAGCTTCTACATACTTGGCCAGCATGAATGGACCCCAGAATAGGCCCGAACATCACAAGGACCCATCTCAAGGGTCATTAAAGGCTTAATGTGAAAAGGAATTAAGACCAAGGCAGCAACAGGTCAACACATCAAAACACGCTGAGATTGCAAGGTGACCTGTTGATGCTGCCACAATAACAATAGTGAAACCAGCTGAATGTGGCACCTCTCATTAGAATACAGAAAGCATCAGCTAACTCTGATCTGCTGGTCCCCTCTGCCAGACCACTCTGGTCCAGAGACTTTGTCAGCTCAAAGTATTGTACTCTCATCTGCAGATCTTTACCAACCGCTACATATAACCCATAAGATGACTACAAACAAAAATCATACTACTGCATCTATGATATGTTTTAAAGATGTGTGCTATGGAAGCAACAGGTCATGGCATCTGTCTGAGCAGAAATGAATGTCTATAACTGAGTTAGTCCCCTAAAATCTCTGTAAAGAACAGAGAAAACATGCCCAGCCTCAAGCCTGGTCCCTAGGATGCTTGGTTGGCCCTTCTACTTTGGCACCAAGTTTTATACTGCTTGGTTTTCTGGATGTGGCTCAGGTCCAGAGTTGTTAGCTGCTCAGTAGCAGAAAGGAAAGCACAACCCATGTCTCCACTCTGACCCGGTGCCCTGTGATCCCAGCTAGAACATTTGTTTCTAATGAGTATAAAGGATATAACAGATATGCAAAGCAAATCTTGAATTAATACAGAAAGCAACCAACAGTAACAAAGATGATTTTAGGATGCATAGCATACAAAAGCTCTCCAAATCTCTGGATATTATTTTAACGCCTTTGGCCACCCAGAGCAGAACACCTAACTTCACTAAACATTTTGAAGGTGACTCCAAGGACACAGAAGCAGGAGATTACAATAGTGCTGTGCTATAGAATGTGAAAGGCTGATGGAAAAAACAAGGGCGTAATTGCTCCTGGAGTTTTCTTGCTGCAGCAGGTGAACTCTAATATGAAGTCATTTAACCTCTTTAGCTACGCATAAATTGCATCCACATGCTTTCCTTTAAGGGGCCAAGTCACAATTAAAGCCAGGGTTTCACAAAGAGAATGTTTAAAAGTCACAGAACTAGTGTGAGGTATCCCTGCCCATGGCAGGGGGCTTGGAACTGGATGATCTTAAGGTCCTTTCGAACCCAAACCATTCTGTGATTCTATGAGCAGACAGCCTAGTTGCAAGATAAGCAAGCAGAAGTCATTTTAACAAAGCTTTATAAATCTCTGCTTCCATGAGAACAGCACTGCTCAGCACCCCACTTTTCAGGGACCGCTGAATTCAGCATTTAATTTCAGGTTATAGGAAACAGGAGGCTGTGGCAAAGTCTGTACAGAAATCCTGGTTATTGCAAATGTCTGGTCAGGTCTGACTGCACCCTTTGCCCACCCAGGACAGCACAGATGGAGCTCAATGCAGAACTAACATTCCACTTTTCCTAATGCACCGTCCCTCCGTAACAGCATGGGAATTACAGGGTAAAAGGAGTTCTGAGAACAGAGAACCTGGACCCTGAGTTCACAGCTGAACATACCAGACTGTCAAGGAAGTTTCAATGCAAATTTGTGGCTGCTCCGTGGCTTATTTCCATACTGGCTTGTCTCATAGTTGTGCCTAAAAGACTTTTTTCTAACCCACTTTTCAGCATTGCAAAGCACTTGCGTCTGGAACCCCTAGGAGCTACTCCAAAGAACTGGGGCTCCAGGTACATGGATGACTCCCTAGTCTGACCTGTATTATAAAACCAGGTCTGAATTAGGTGTTTTACTTAGCATGCATTTTCAAAGATGCTTTTCTAACACATTCAAAGCCCTTCTCATTGCCAGGTTTGTGATGGGGACTTTGAAAAGAGAGGAGAACCTGGGGGGCATAGGCCTATGGGGAAGAATCTGTTTGGAAGCAAGAAGATTATTTTATTTGTTGGTTTGTTCTGGGTTTCTTTTATGTTTGAGACTGGCATCTAGAGTTAAAGGATAATAAAAAGGGACATTCACAAATTAGGACAGTCACCACACTCCACAGAACATTAGAAACATGAAGTGACTTTGTGCAGGCATTAATCAATTGGGTGAGATACTGGAAATCCCTCTGGTTTATTTGGTGTTGTCATTCTTGGCTCCTGTGAAACTAACACTTGCAGACACACTTGGAACCTCAGCCTGTGTTTGCCAGACTGGTATGCAAGTCAGTGCAATGGTCTGGGGAAGGGATAATCCTCTATCTCCCCTCCCCCTCAATCTTCCCTTCTAGGGTCATTTAACACACAGAGGCTTACGATATTAGAGATTCCAACAAGGATTTAACCATTAATGCTCTTTGGGAAACTTCATATGATAAGTCATATGAATTTCTTGTCTTTATCAGTTAAGGATGAACTGTAACAGAACTGGGTTAGCCTGCACTTTCTGTTTTCAACACCCGCCCTTCTCTCTTGCCGGCTTTACATTGGGCAGTCACACAGATCTAAATCCAGTCTGCAAGAGGCAGCAGTGGAAGAGTGGTCAGCTTTCATCCGGTGACCACAGACCTTTCACAATCAACACCAAAACTTCCACACACTGAAAACAAATAAGAACAATCTCAGCTCAAGGATTTCTGGGTTAAGACCAGATCTCGAGATGAAGTAAGCCAACCAAACTCTGCCAAATCTGGATATTTCCCATTCTTTTCAAGCTGCCTAATCCTGTTATGAAGATATGGTGTAACGGGGAATTTAAATCTTAAATGCATGAGACACTGAGCAGGTTTTCAATTTCTTTTTCTGGTTCAAATCTCAGCTGATATCTATCAGTATATTTATACTGGATGAGGTTTACATTTGACTACTTATATCTAACCCCAGCTCAAGAGTAAAAACAAGCAAATAAGGGAAGGAAATTTACAGAGAGAGAAAGATGTCTTTATATTAAGGACAAAGAACTACACCTAGACAGATAGAGAGCTTAAACCAATCTTGCTGTAATTGGCCTGACATTGCCTTCAATAGCTCTTTTAAGCGTTGGCTTGTTGCTGAAGGTGCCCCTAGAGGAACAAAGCACAGAGAAGCCAAAGACTCACTACCGTGTTGCAGAGGATGAAATGTGTCAATTTAAACACAACGATAGATTAAAACCACTGGGAAGTGGGATGGGGAATTGCTTTCAGCTTTAGGTTTGATTCTGCAAGCATAATTTAGTGCAGCTGACGTTACATAGTTTTGTAAAAAGCCATTTGATCAGTGCACACAAGCCTGAAAACACTTCTTGATGATCCTTACCGCCTGCAATTAGTAAAAGATGCCTGTGCTTTGTGAATGCTAACTGCTGAAAGGCTGTTTACCCACAGGAGTTGCTTCCCCACTTCTTTTCCATCCTTATCTTTCCAGAAGATCCAAACCTGAGCATGTCCTCAGCCTCATCCAGGCTGGAACAGGGAAAGGACTGAGGAGGGAGCTTCAAAGGCTTCACTGAAGAAATCACAAAAGGCTCTTTCAGGAACAGGTCTGAGCTAACAGGAAAGAAACAGCCCAAAACTGTGGGGAAGGAAGACTTTCTGAATCCTGTTCTGGTTTCTGGAGCCCGGCACACTTTGCATGCCTAGCTGCCTTTCAAAATGCTACAGATGTGGTAGGCATCAGCACACAGCTATTCAGAGTACTGATGAAGGTGCCTTGCTAAAAAACACCTTCTTTCCTTACTAGTAGCCATGGGTATGCCAGGGCTGACCGACTGCAGGCAAAAATCACTGCTCAGGAGTCCTTTTTCTGTACTGATTTTTGTTACAATCAGCTGCTGCCAGTTTTATTCTTCCCAAATAAAGCCATAAAGGAGCCTGACTGTGACCTTAAGGCACAAAGTGACCTTAAGGGACAAAGTAACAATAACAAAATCAAAGAACTGATTTTCCTGTTAAAATCCTGCCACAATTCATCATATCCAGTAGCACAGAAACTTCTGGCTAATCAAATCATTTGAGTGCTGTGGGTTTTTGTATCCCTTAGCTCTATCTATAAACACAAGCCAGAGCATTTTCCAGAACATCTCCTGGTAGAAAGCAAGGAGGTAGAAAAAAAGCAGCCAAGGAGCAGATGCTATTACTCTGGCTACAAGGGATTCCAACACTTGACCAAGGGTCAGTGATTTATACCACAAGAATGTTAATGACCACCAGCACGATGGCCCAGCTCTTTGGTGAGGTCCTCCTACACCTTCAAAGGATGCCGTGTCAGTTTTCGTGGAAAGCCTGGAAAGCCGGGAGCAGCTATGTCTCAACACACTGGGCTGATCTCCAGAACTTAGAACAGAAGTTTCTGCTCCTGCTTTCTCATCACTGCTCACAATGCAACCATAAACCCAGTCTCTTTTTTACCTATTCACTGAACAATCACTGTAGATAAGCCCAGAGGGAATTAGCCTTCAATCCAAAGGGACAGCAGCCCCTTTTAACCCTTTGTGTTGAGCAGTTGCTAAGGTTGCAAGAAACGCCCCCGCTCCATCCTCACACGTGTTCTCATATGTACCAACGTTAATTCCTGTGAAATACAATTTTCTACTGGTAGGAAACTGCTGATGAAAGAGATCAGCAAGGCCTTACCTTGACGCCCCCGCTCCATCCTCACACGTGTTCTCGTATGTACCAATGTTAATTCCTGTGAAATACAATTTTCTACTGGTAGGAAACTGCTGATGAAAAAGATCAGCAAGGCCTTACCTTGATGCCCCCAATCCTATGCTCTCCTTTGAACTCCTTGCCATTTTTCAGCCAGTAGATGGAAGGGGTTGGGTTTCCACCCGCCGGACATCGGAAGCGAACGGTGTTGGCGGCGGGAACTGCCAGCAGCTTCTTCTCCATCTTATCTGGCCGGGTCCAGAAGGGGACACCTGAGGAAGGAGAAACCAAGATGAACAGGCCCGTTTCTGCCACAGAGGATATCAGCTGGTGAGCAGATGCATTTGAGGAGGCTTTGGCATGTGCGGAGTGACAGTTAAATTGCTACCTGCTGCAGTTAAGATAAATGACACAGAAATGCTTTCCAGCTAAATGACTCTCATAGACGTAGACAGGGTGTTTGCATTTCAGGTTTGTGATGAAAGGTTCATGACCAGGTTTTTGTCCCTGTAATGCCAGTGTAAATCTAGAGTAGCTGCTTTTAAATCAACAGGTGGAATTATCCCAGATCAGGATGAGAGTTTAGCCTCAGTGTTTAAAAAGATACAGATGTACCTTCGGAGACAATGGCAGCCAAGAAGCACGAACAGCAGAAAGATGTTGGAACTGCAGAAACACATTGATGAGCCAGCAAGGGAGCAGGGAAAAAGCATTAGCTGAGTGCACTGGAAAACTGCTTCTCAGCGAGCACAAACGTAGCCTCCTTAAGGGAAGGCAAGAAGAAAACCAGCCAGTGCCAAACTGGTTTATCATGTTTATGTTCTATAAGTACAAGTGATTTTAGTTTTAAAGATTCATGTTACCCTTGAACAGGGATAAGTTGTTCTAAAACACCAGTGTTAGCATGAGATACTTTTTATAATCTGCCTCAAGAGCAGTGATGTTTCTTGGCTACCTTACAAACATTACATATTCACTCCAAATTAAGGCAGCAGCAAACTCATTATACTGGGAAGAAAGAAGTTTTTTTAACAGCCTCCCAAGCTTTCATTTCTGCTTAAGGAAACACTGCAGAGCTGCATGTGGGGTGCTTCCCCTCTCACACAGAAGGCCACATCCAGCCCCCCCAGCTCTGTGCTCCACACCAAGGCCAAAGGGAGATGGGGGCAAACAGCATTTGGGCTGCAAAACAGCAAAGAGGAAGCCAAGGATTTTAACTGGGTATTTCCTCTGGATGGGAAGGAAGCACACACAGACACAAGAGTACCCAAACCCACCAGTCAGAGACACCTTCGTGCTTCTGGCCAAGACAAACTGAAGGTGCTGGTCCTTCAGTAGCTGCTATGGAAAACACAATGGCCATCAAAGCTGCTGGGAAAGCATTGGTGCTGGCTTCTCCCGCAGCGGTGACGATGCTCAGGGGATGCTCACCACCCAGCATCACAGACCCACCTCAGTGCTACTCTGAAGCCTCTGCAACCCCCTCCCCCTTGATGACAGAGCTGTACAGGGTTTTCCTTCTTGCTGCATCCCTCTGAGATGCACCTGAGCTGTTCTCTATCTCCAACACTCCCTGATTAACTTAGCCCCAATGTGTTTGGCTCCACAAGACCCATCCCTTTGCCATTCCAGACCCCACCTTGGTCTAAGTATCCTGTGTCCCCCATGCAGGCTTCTGCTGCATTTCAGCTCCAAGGATTTTGCAGGCAAGGTCACAAAGCTCAGACAAAGCAATCCATGCACCCATTGATTTTTAGCACCTCCACATGGCCCTGTCTTCCCATGGCTCCTTGTAAAGCACACCTATCCTTGAGGAATGTCAAGAGCTACATTCAGGAGGCCCTCCATTTGCTGGAGATGGCCCTGCTGGGAACACTGTTCTCATCTCTTTCACAAGTCTTCTTGCCAGGGTGGCACTGAAACAGGAGCACGGCTGGCACAAACAGTCAGAAAGAGGAATCCCTGCAATCCCCATGCGCCTGCTAGATCCCTCTACAAACTGCTGTGAACACACAGCACATCTGGGAGGGCCTTCAAATGCTACACGGTAATGCGGGCTAAATAAAGCTGGACATCATGTTGCCATCTACCTTCCGGCATCTGAGCTTAAAATGTCGGTAGAAATGCACAAGAATGGGGAACGTTCCAAAAAATGCTAGAAGAGTGGGTGCATGCCATAAGGGAAGAGCAGGTCTTGATGGTAAAGGAAGATGCTGCTATCACACACGTTGGGAAAAGGAGCAAGAAACCAAGCAAAGGTTGGGTGAAAGCCCAGGCAGCAGCGGGGGGGGTGAATCTGGAGGAGATGGGGTGGTGCTGGGAAGCCTGAAGGGGAGTGAGCTGCAGAAACCATGTTGGGAGACATCTGGTCTTAGGTTTCCGAAGCATGGGCTATTGCCTAGCCCAACGCTTCCTCTTGGCAACGCACCCTGATTTCCCAAAGACTTTACAGGAGGTTAATGGAGCTAAACAGGATAGAGTTCAGGGAAAGGCCAGGCACGGATGGAAAAGTCCCTCTTCTCTGCTGCTAAGGGCAGCCAAATAACCTGCTGTTTGTTGTTTGATTATCATATCTGTCTACAATAAATCCCATTTTATGGTGTCAGTGACACTCACCCGGGCACGAGGATGTAACTAGATCACACCAGGACTGTGCTCCTCCTTGTGCTGTGCTTTTGGGGAGTCTTCCCCTTTCCACACTGGCTGCGTGTGCTGCAGGGTGAGGTTTCACTATGTTTTCTCACTCAAAAGATGAGCCTGAATCTCACAGGAGTCCCATTAACCCACTGGCTGCAAATGTTGTCACTGAAGCCAAGAGGGATTTTGCCATCAGGCATCAGGGAGGAGCAGGAAAGTTTCCAGCTGGGGATAGTCTCCATATGGAGCAAAGGCAGGATCCACTCCTCCCTCCTCCAATTAGACACTGCTTCTTCCCCAAGTGCCTTCCCTTCGTTTGGGTGCTCTTCCATGCAACTCAGGGCTTGCCAGAGCTGGGCACCCCTGCATTGATGTGCCAAACTTCAAACAATCAGAGCATCACTCAAGTCAAACTGGAACTGGAAGAAAGTGTCTGTGCCTTGAAAACAGTGCCTTTGTTCTCACTTGCAGGAGCAGCGAACAAAACATCACTGCTTTCGGTTTGCTGTGCCCCCAGAGTCCTTTCATTACCACTTTTTAGGGGGGTGAAAATGTTGCTAACTCTTCTTTTCAAGCAATGCTTGCAAAGCTCCAGAGAGTTTCGGCAGCGAGAAAGGAGGAAGGATGAAAGACAGGAAAGATTTCTAGACCCGCTCTCTCTAAATTAATTACAAGCAGTGATTTTGCATGTGCAGGTGTGAAAAGAAAAGGGATCTGAAAAACATTATCACCGGCTCTTTGCCATCATCAAACACCAAACCCGACACGGTCCATTTTGTTTGGTAAAGACACCGGCCACCCATCCGACTGGAATGACCAATTAAAACAAAATGAGAGGGATACTTGGAATAATTAATACAGCCGAGCACTCATTTAGCAATTAGGAGCTGCCACAAAATTCTGTGGCAGACAGAATCAACCCTAATTGTGTAATTTCCCCAGCTGACGCCTCCAAGTACACAGCCAGATTTAATTGGAGATTATAGGGGCTCTTTGAAGGTGCTGGGGCTACGCAGCAGGGGCTCCAAACAAACAGATACAGGCGGGTAGGGAGCACTGGGGCAGAAGAGCAGTGTGTGAAAAGGGTGTTTTGTTTTTGTTGCAGGGCCAGGAAATACAGCTGTAGAGAACAGAGGTATTGGAAAGCCTCTTTCTGCAAAGGCAGAGCGCGGTTTGTGACAAGGCTGCAACAAACGGGCCAATGATTTGAAGCTGCTCGAGTTCCTCTTTCTTCTTTTCTGCTGCCCACCCCTAAGGGATGCCCCATTTCTATGCGGCCCTTCAGAGAAGATGCTTGAAGGACGGTGAGCAGAGCAGGGCACTCCACGTGGAGGGCCTATGTGCTCTCAAAAAAGGTTTTACACCAAATATTGATTTATTTTAAGGCAGATTTCCTCTCATTCTCTTGCTTTGCTATTTCCAGCTCAAGTTAATCAACACTTTTGGGTCAAGCCCCCCAGATTAACAAGATTAGCTTTAAACTCATGATGCTATTGGAATCAGCTCTCCAAGCTCTTATCTATAGATATAAGGATAAGAAATTCTCTTGAACAACACAATTAAAGCAGAAAATTAACTTATCATCACAAGAGGCCAGGAGACAAAGTTTTTATTCAGTGACATGCAATATGGCAAAAGGCAGTGAGCCAGTCCTGGATGGATCAGTCCCCCCTTAAATATGAACAACTATTGGTTACATTTTTCTTTTGCATAAAAGCATGCTTATTGCCTTCACTCCTCTAACTACTGACCATGGCTATGTCTGATGGACAAGCAGAGGCCCATACACCCCATTATTAGGGTATCCTTTTGCCACAAGAGATGGAGGTCACAGATCCTTGGGCTGTCCATATGACATGGCACTGGCTATACCCATGTACTCAGGAGGGTCCTGCAGCCCCTGTGGACTGTCCCACAGTGGTGGTGCCAGGGTTAATAATACAGCTCCCCAGACTCAAGAGAAGAAGTTTAAGTGGAGGGTCTGACGTCAAACAAAGCAACATAAAGCACATCCATGTCATGACATGCCATGAGGCTTCACCATGCTGGCACGTTAAGCTGATGAACCATTTTTAAAGCAGAAGAGAATCCAACTTTTTATAACAAGACCTTTAAGCAAAGACAAGCCGTTACCTTCAGGTCTAAAAAAAGAGACAGCCTCGAAGTCAAGAAGACCCAGAATACAGGCTATAAATACATGTGGTGAAACGTGTGTTTTCCTTTTCAGTGGAGAAAACCATGTCTCTCTGTACCGTAAACCAGCTGATGGTTTTTGATATCTGTTGCTAAGAGATAGAGTTAACTACAAACCACATAATAAAAAGTACAGAACAATTAATTGTGCTCATCAGAACCTGTTCTGCAGCAGGAACAAATCCTGCAGGACCAAAACTGACCTTTCCTACGCCTCTACCAGGCTTCAGCAGGCATCAGGAGCACTGAGTGCCTCTGCAAAGGTGCCCGCCACCTTGCAGAATCCAGCCCTTAATTAGAAGCCATCAGAAAACCACTAACTGCTGCTGATGGGTCGCCTGGCACCATAACTCACCACTGCTGTTCATATACTGGATAACACAGCTATGTGCTATGAATTTATTACAGTAGGAGACCTGTTTTAAAGAGTTCTGCATGTCCAATGCTATGGGCAGCAGAAATTTTCCAGTCATGTTGAACTTCTGCCAATGTACACAGCTGATTGGGAGTTCAAATGCAAGACATTTATTTATTGAAAACACATACACACAGGCAGCTCACTTTGCAGAAATATAAAGAGCATAATAAAACACCACACTAACGCCTCTGAAGCATGTAATGATCCTGATTAATGCTATTGCGCTTAAAGAAACAAGCACTGGGACTGAAAGAGATTCAGAGTAAAAGCACTGAGAGGCTCCATCCTGGGGCTCCCTTTCCTATGTGAGTGAAAGAAAAAGGCAGTAAAGTCAAAGGGGTTGCTCCTGCCTACAGCATCAGTTAATCTGGCTCTTGGATAGTGTAAATTTCATGCTCTGACTCCAGCCAAGATGTTGGTAAGCACCAGAATCAAACCAGCTAAAAATGAAGCAGGTGAAGGTTTGCAATGGTGTAAAACTGGTGTAAAGTCAGTGAAGATAAAAAAGGTAAGCAGGTTTGTCTGGATTTACATTCAAGGAGAATTCATAAAGTCATCTGCTCATCGAGGCAGATCAGCAGAATCAGGTCTCAAAACAAATCACACTGCTGTTGCTGTTGGATGTTATACCACTCTGGCTGCTATTTCTAACTTTTTAGATAAGCATCATCATGGTACCATCCTACAGTCACTGATTTCAACACAGAGAAAGAACATCTGTCTGACCAGGTGAACATCTGGATGAGCTGCTCCACTTCGGAGCCATGTTGCCTTCAAAGAAAAGGCCTCTGTATGCCAGAAAACCAAATTACCTGTATCTTCTGACTCGTCATCATCATCTTCATCATCACCCGATGAAGGGGAATCTAAGGAAGAGAAGGAGAAAGAAGTGAAGCAGAAAGAGGATGGCATGCAGGGACTCCATTCTCAACAAGGCTGTTGGTGCCATGGTGGGCTCCAGTGAGGGAGGACATTCCAGTGATGGGTCAGCCTTCTTTGCAGCTCCACCAGCCCGTCCCTCCCATGCTGCTGGGAAGGTCAATTGGCCAGGAGCTTTCTGAACTGGGAGAGAGGTGTCATGAGTTTGCTAATGTTCTGCCACCAGAGACCAGGGTCCAATGCCAAACACTTCTCCCTGTGTCAAGTGCTCTTCTCATAAATACAACAACAGTTCCAAGAGGGAAAATTTCTTTCTGAAGAGCAAGCTCTCCTCCGCGCCCCCCCCCCCCTTTTTCCCCTAGAGCATTCACTCTGAAGACATTTTATTCCACCAACTCTCAAAATGACAGGTCAGCATTTCTAATTCACTTTCCCTGCATTTTTCTTTTACCTCAATACACCCCTGCCACGTCTCCCTTTATTAACTCCTTGCTCAACCATTCAGACTAAAGCTTTTAAAACCTCCCCTTGCAACTAAACCTCTCAATCGACCTTTTGATGGCTGCTCCATGAACAGTTCCATCCCGTCATATTCCTCCTACAAAGACACCTCAAGGCAGTAACCGATTACAGGTTAACATCTGCATCTCTCCAAAACATCCTGATCTGTTTCTCTTAATGTGGTCTAACATCTCACCTTCTCCAAGCTGTCTACAATGAAGTCTCAGTTCCTCTTCCCCCCTAAACAAATGACTACTGTAAACGTAAATCCCATTATCAAATAGCAGCTTAGTGTTTGATTTAGTTTACACGATTTAGTACACTTCAGTGTCTGGAAGATTTAGCACCACTGACTTCATATAATCTCCAGGAATGTCTTTTTTAAATAAAAGCAAAAGCTAGCAATCCAGCAGCCTTTATACACTGAGACAGTGGTGAAAGAACTTGGCCTTAAACACCAGAAAACAGGAAACTCTGAGTCTTCAACACGTGGCCAGAAATGCAGTACTTCAGACCATGCCAGGCAGAACCTCCTTCATTTCAAGTTGCACTTGAGTTTTCTGCTGTTCTCTGACCAGCTCAGTGGAGGTAAAAATAAGAGGAGAGGAAGGTGGAAAGGGGGAAAACAGAGAGAAAAAACAAAAGGTAAGGGAAAGGTAACAACAAATGCTATTTCTCTGCAGAATCTGAAAGGACTTTCCAGACATATCCACCATCTGCAGGAGGAAGTAACACAGGAACCATCTCTATAGGCTGTAGTGGTGCACTGGGCTTTGCACCTTCTCCTTGGCAAAGTCTCAAGGAAGACTTGCAGCACGTATCTAACTGCAAACCTCCAGCTGAGGTCCTGCTGGCAGCAGAACCAGGGAAATGCCACGGGGCTTGCTGAAAGTGAAGTGGATGTTTAGGAGTTTTAGCTGAACCAGCAGGTTTACTCAAGTCCTGGCGAAGGCAGAAACCCAGCCAAATCCCCACCAGCATCGACAGAGAAACCAGCACATTCTCAGCCCTGCACTCTCAGGTTTGCTTATCCATATATTAACATGTGATTATCATTTACTTCTGCTTTTCAATGAACCAGTCATGAGCAGAAGAGATGAATCAATTTTTATATCAATTCGAATACATTTCCACAAGGCTGAGGGAAGAGACTTTGACCCTGTTTCATGTTTCAGGTGAGAGGTGCAGCTTAGGATTTAAGACCAAATATCCCATGTTTAGAGCTACTGTCCTGTTCAGGTTACTAAAACATCACGTTTTTCAGAAGGTGACTGGAAATTTCTAAGCTATTCATGAACCATTTACTAAAATAGTAAACCTATTGTCAGACATTGACAAGTATTGGCATTAACAAGTGCTGCTAGATGCTATTCTCAAAAGACCTTTAATTATGAATGGAAAAGGGCTTCATTTTTTTAGTCAGCTGTTTTGAATAGCTCAGTCTTGGATATTTTGGAAGCTTTTTCTGCTGGTACCAGCCTGCGGGTCATGCTCATCACAGGCGTGCTGCTCAGGCACTAAATCCAAAGGCTGTTCTGTACATGAAATGATTGCAGAAATGGAGCTTCTGCCAACAGGGCTGGAGATCAGTTTGTGCATGCAGCCTCTATTTCTGATCCTCTTCAAGTGCTCAGGTTTTAAGAGGACAGTACGTTTCTTTCTGTAAGCTAGCAAAACACGCAAGCCCGTGTCTGTCAAGGGAGGCATTTTGAAGAGATTAAGCCCTGCTATTAATCAGCCTGGTTTTCAACCCTAAAATGTGAGCTTCAACATCTCGTTGCCCTACCTTCAGCATCAAGCATATCACTGTACACACTGAGTGTCACTGTGGAAGAGGCAATTTGTTGCAAACTCAAAACTCAGAGCTCCACATAGGAAAATCCTGATCTGCTCCCAGAATCTGGAAGCACATCTCAAAATGGGACTTACGTGTGTACTAGCTAATTCTGAATACACCCAGCCTAGTTTTCCTCACATAAGAATACACATCAGAGCAATTCCAGATTGTTAGTACAGATTTAAACCAGTTTTATGCAGAGAACAACTCCAGCCCCAAACATCAGATGCTCACATAAACACCCGACCAGACACCTGAGCTAATCGCTGGCATTACCTTTAAGAATTGGGAACACAAACCACAAACCTCTGATAACAATCTCATCTCCTCAGTGCAATCAATACTAATTATGAAGAAATATCTGCACATACAAGAGGCGCCACTATTGCCACATAAAGCAGGGCTTCAAAGTTTAAAACAAGTGCTGCTGACAGCTAAGACGGAGACTCCCACATTACCAGCACTTTGGTGGTAATGACAGTGGGCTAATAGAATCAAAGACTCATAATGCTGTCAGAAAGCAGGTTCAGGTTACTCGCTTGTTCTTAAGCTGTTATTAGCTATTATTAGCGAAGAGGAAAAACACAGGGGCTTAAACTTTTTAAAAGCAGAGGATTATCAGCCCTTCCACTATTAAAAACAATTTCTCACTTTACAAACTTTTGGGGCTGGCAGCTGTTTCATTTGAGCGTGTAACCAGCTGCCCTCTTCTGCCTCCCTGCTGCCCCTTGAACTCAAAAGCATTTAAATGTCACTTAAAAAAAGAAGAGAGAGTAACGTTTCTAACAACCTGCAGTTCCTTGGATAGTTCCCATAATCGTACCTAGTTAAAGGAAGCCTTTCAAGGGCCAAATACTCCTTTAACCATTTAATTGATATGACCTTGAAGCATTCACAGCAATCTCCAGTAACATTCAATGAAAAGCAGATGCTGGTGGAGGCTCACTGAAATGAGCTTTTATTCTCATGATGGTTTGATTCTCTCACACAAAATCCTATTTCTGGCACCAGAAAGCCCTTTATGGAGTGGATGTGATTTACAATCACAAACATCTATGTGTTTGGTTTTCAGACAGAGCCCCTCACTTTCTGAGGGAACTCAACTTTTGAAGGCAAGGACCTACTGTCCTGGGATGCTTGAAGAAGCTCCAACAGTTCAAGGGCAAAAGAAAGTTTTCAAAACCTTAGATTTAAGGGGTTAGTTCTTTTGAAAATTGAAGCTTTTAATCTGTGTGATCAGAAGGTTTTCTATCTGCTCAGTGATGAGAACCCGTTTATCAATGCAGCGGCCTGAAATCACAGAGACAGTCTTAGTGCTAGCCATTAGCTAGCTATCTGAGAACAACAGATTTTTCTGGCACATTCTGTTAAGTGATCTAGGCTTGGACAGCTTGTAGCTGTTCTCTCCTAATCATGAAAAACACAGCCCAGCAAATGACAGCATGTGCTTTCCTAACACAGCACTTGTTTGTAATGTATGAATTCCAGCAAGTACCTCTGATGAACCACATACTTGGGACATATACAACTTACAGATAAACTACTTCAGAAATAAACTAGTAATTTGTGATAACTGGAATGGAGGGAAGAGATCTATCAGTAGAGAAACGGTTTTCAGGAACCTCCAGCTTTTATATGCAATTTTGCCACTGATGTGTCACATAAAGTGGGAAAAGTCACTTAACCTCCCTGAGCCACAGTTCACTCACTCACAAAAGACTTCAAAGGCACATGTAGCATTGCATCTATTTGAGTGTTAAGGGGGATTTGGGGTTTAATCTGACTAGCACCGTTTCTAAGTCTCTCTCATCAAGCTTTAACATTTGGTATGGACACACAAGCATTCTTCCATTGGTTTCTTTTGCCCGTCTAATCAGTGCCAGGAGTTACCAGGGAGGTAGAGACCTACCAAGTACGGACAAACACCACAAAGCACCAGCTGTGTTGAACATGTGGAGGCCAAAAGTAAGGATAAGTCACCGAGAGAGCTGTATTTCTGCACGTACCTGTAACCCTGACTGTAAAGTTTCCCAGGACCTCGTTGGAATGCCTTGGCTTGCAACTGTACAGCCCCGAGTCATCATATGACACATTGATTATCTTCAACAGTTTTTGTCCAATATGAGTTCTGTTGGTAGGTGCAATCCCGATACCATCTTTAAACCAGAAAACAGACACGGAAGAGCCTTGGGTGTTACAGGAAAGTTCAATGGTATCTCCACTTCCAAACACCAGCTCTTCTAGAAAGGCGGTCTCGCTCCTCAAGTATTCTGCAAAGGGAGAAAGAAATGGGAATGAGTAAATAAGAGCAGACGTCAGAAAACAGAAAAGCTGTTAAAAAAGAAATGTGTATCTTATGTTTGTCCTACTGATGCTTCCACGTGCCCAGAGCAATTCCAAAGACACATGTGCACACCATAATCAAGTAGCTGATCTACAAGGATGGCTTCAACCCTGTAGTAACCAAAACACAGCCATCACCCCACCAGGTGCATCACAACAGAACAGACCTCTATGCAAAGTCATTGCAAAACCCGATGTTGCATGGGGGGGTGATCTGGTAGATGTTAAGTGTTTGCTTGCAAAGTCCACAGTTCAGTTTCTGGATCTCTTTATTCCTATTGAATCTGTGCACAACTGCTGCAAGACCCACGACGGAGGGGATACAAGGAGGAGTGGGGATAAACCCATTTCTCAAGTGGCTCTGGATGGCCTAAAGGCAAATTCTATGGGATGAAGGAAACAAGGAAGGCTGGACAGAAGATGCAAGCTGAAATGGCTGAAATAAATGAACCCATCACTAGCTCCTGGCTGCACCCTCTGTACAACAAAGAAGTTCAAACCCAAAGACTGAGCATGAAAGGTTAAATCCCCATTTCTTCGGTCTATCAACCAGCTGCAGCAGTTTGTTCCTGATGTTCCAGAGTGATGAAAGCGAACCCTGACACATGGTGAAGAATCTGTTTTACCATAGGATAAATACAGAAGGAAAGGTTCAGGCTCAAAAGTCTCCTCATGGAGGAATGTGGGGCATGCTGAAAGTCTGGTTTTTGCGTCTGATGGTCCTCAGGCTCATTTTAGTGACATGTAAACTCATTCTTGACATTGAATGGTTTATTTATCCTTTCTACCAGTTTAATAAGGAAGAGCAGGCTCTCTACAGCTATCCTCAACCCAGCTAGATCAACAGCAAGACTGTTATTCTCCCCACCTTGTATTTGCTAACCAACATTTCCACTTGGCATTGCCCCATCTCTATCTTCTGGCTTATACCAACTTCGAGGCTCTACGCTTCACTAGGCAGAAGAGTCTTGGTTTTGTACAGTATGTATCATGTGGAATCCTATTCCACAATGAAGGCACTTTGATGCTACGATTACGTGATTAGCAAGTAAAAAGTAATTCAAGACGGGTAAGTCTGAACCTAATCCTACAATCCAGGTGGCCTGAGTTGATCTCTGATAGTAATGCAATATAGATAGAGATCCTAATTTTGCAGCTTAAGCATATTCATAGACTACAATTTGACTGTGAAACCAATATAATTACAGCAGCTCTGAATACCTGAGGATGAGGCATTGGCTTCATGCTGCTCTTCTGCCATTAACTGGAAGAGTTGGAGCGTTTTTAAGAGAAAAATGCATTGCTTTTCTTGTCGAGCAGGTTTTCATTCTTGTGGAAATGTAAAAGTTATAAATATCAAAATGTTTCAGTCAAGAGCCTTGCAGGGTAGAAATGAAGAATCCCAGGGGCCCCAAAATGTGGTATTTCATGGGAGGTATCGTCTCACAGGAGGCAAAGCCCACACTCATTGGGGTTTCAAAGAACTTTTGCTCTGATACCCTGGCAGCATTTCCCACTGAAATAGTTTTGGGTTTGGCCAGAATGCTGTGGTATTCCTACAGTCAAAGGTTGAGGGTGTTGCTTTTTTTTCCTTGTAATGAACAGATTTTCCCTGAAAGCATACACTTTTAGTAAGAAGAAAAAGAAGATGAATACCCAGCATCTCCTTCGTATCAGACCAGCACTTGCTGAGACACTGAGTGTTTGCTCATGGTCTCTTCCCAACCGGACTATATCCTCAGGGAAAATATGACTGAGAAACATTCTGGTTTAACTGTTCCTTTCAGGTTTTTTCCTTCCTTCTTCTAGACTATAAGGATTTCTTTCAATGGTACCAACTTTGGCTACCAATTAAAAAGCCCTGCATGCACCTCTGCACTAGGACGATGGGTACTGATCTTGCTTTGCTTGTTGACTCTGATGGCAGCTCTTGCTACTTTCATCTACTGGAAAACAAACCCCATGCAGCTGCACAACCCCTCCATACAAAATACACAGGTCTGCCCCAAGATGTTTGCCAAATGATCAAGACTTGTGTATTTTGGCTTTTGTATCACAAACCTACCAAACAGGAACAAGCCCAGACTAAGTACAAACCAAAGCGCACTGTTCAGCCATTTAAAAGGAAAACACTCTTTTCTGAAAGCCATATTGAACCTGGGTTAATGAGAAAGTGACAGACTGATTCTATAAAACATTATTAGGGAATGCTGAAATAAAGAGGAAATTCAATTTAGGCTCAGAGCAGAATGACTGGGGTCTGAAGCTTCTTCTGTGGGAAGGAGCATCATCTCTTGTTTCTGACAACTCTATTTCAGCATCTCTGTTCTCAGTCCTTCCAGCAGATAGTGTGATACAAAGTTCAGTCCTCAAGATGCTTAAATGCAAAGTCCAGTCCTAGTGACTTCTATTCTTACTCCCTGGGAGTAGCATCTAGAAAGACAGTGTGGTGAATTAAAAGGAGAATGTTACTAGTGATTTTAATGTCACTTCTTTAAACAGCTGTTCAAATTTAAGTTTATATGCTTATGGCTTCAAAAATAAACAGGATCCAAACCGGAGACCTCCACAAAGCACTTAAATGTACACTGAGGTGCTTAAGTACTTTGCCCAACTAGGATTTGGAGAAAGAAATTTTACTCTTATTCCTCACATAGCTTTTAAATATAGTGATACATCCAAAAGTGGACACAGGCTCCCCTCTTTGCTGGCTGAGAACAGCTGGAGTTTAAAGCAGGGAACCAGAACTCACATCTCCTACTGGGTGCACAGAGCCCACCACCTCCTTCCTGCCTTCCAGCTGCACATGGCTCGTGTTTCCAACAACTTCTCAACAAGAGGCACCAAGACGTCAAGGAAACACGAAGTTGCCCCCTCTGAGGCCAAGCATCCAGCCATCAGACTGACTTGCAGAAGTCATGGGTGTTTTAGTTACTGCTGAACAGTGATTACACAGCATCAAGGCCTTTTCTGCTCCTTACCCCACCAGTGAGCAGGCTGGGGGTGCGCAAGATGTTGGGAGGGACACAGCTGGGACAGATGATCCTAGCTGACCAAAGGGATATCCCATACGGTATGGTGTTATGCTCAGCATGTAAAGTTGGGTCGAGAAGGGGGACATTTGGAGTCACGGTGTTTGCCTTCCCAAGTCACTGTTATGCATGATGGAGCCCTGCTGTCCTGGAGGTGGCTGAACATGGGAAGTGATGAGTCAATTCCTTGTTCTGCTTTGCTTGTGTGCACAGCTTTTGCTTTACCTATTAAACTGTCTTTATCTCAACCCACAAGCTTCCTCACTGTAATTCTTCTGCCTCTCTCCCCAGTCCCACTGCAGGGGGAGTGAGCAAGCGGCTATGTGAGGCAGAGCTGCTGGCTGGGGTTAAACCACAACACATCGGGATAAATTACCGGGAGTAAAATCACATAGGGATTACAGGAACCCACTCCATCACTTCACAGCAAGGCAGGGATTAATGCATTTGCTGCTTTAGCAGGTTCTTAGAGAGGAGTAGACAATCAAGGTTGTGGACTCCCAAGATATGACTAAAATGCAACCATTTATTACTTCAATCCAAGCAGCAACGGGCTGAAAATCACCAAGAGGTGCTTCTGATGCAGATCAGCACTTGCAGCATTATCAACTGCTGCTCACAGCAAACATGGTACAGAGAGAGACATATTTTAAGCTGTTCAGAAGAGCAAAAAGGCAGCAACTAGTCAGGAAGCACCTTCTACAATGAGAAGCAGCTGGCCCAGCTATGTTAAAATGCTTTTGTATGTATTCACTTATAAGGATAAGATACTTCATCTCTGTAGCTGCTTGGCTCATCCCAGTGATAATTCACTTTCTGTGTGGTTCACAGCTCCAAGTGCTTAAGTGTGTCAGTATTTCCATCAGATGTCTGCTCCTCTCAGACATCAATACTTGTTTCTGGCTGAGCCTGGAAATGTTTTACTTTGGTTGTAACGTAGCAGCTCTCAAGAACTGGGGGGAGTATGCAGTTATATACATTTTAGGCACAAAAGGACAGAGAGGTGGAGGATGATGGATATTCTTGAGCTGCTTATGCACCCCCACCCCCCCAAACTCCAAGCCAACCTAGAGCCTGGTTGGGGCCCTCCTTGGGTCCTGTGTCAAAAAGCATGGAGGCTGCTACTGGGCAGCCAATGCCTACCCTGCCTATGAGAGGCTCTATAAGATGGGGGGCCCCAGAGCCCCACACCACGTTGGAGGGTGCCGAGACCTGGATCCAGGACATCCTATCCAGTTGTTTCCCTTCATTTGTGCTTTTCTTCCTGGAATAGCTTCCCACGATTCCACTTTTCCAAACATCAAAGTACTTGGGAGGCTCCCGAGGGTCTGCTCAGGTGGGAGCATCATCATCACCCTCCTCCTTCAGCGAGGATCCTGCAGCTGTGCACATCCACCACACAACCCAGAACATCCCACTACAAAGGGCTCAAGGCACACAACCTTCAGTCAACTATCAGCAAGATATTCCTCACCCCACCCTGAACTCTGGCAATCCCAGAGAGGCTTTTCGGGATTGCTTCAGAGCCCAGTGCTGGAATGGAATGAGTTTCATTCCAAAGAGGATCATATTTTCCCCTTTTCAAGCTGGACAAGCTGCATTTGGCATGTTAACAAGCAGCAACATAGCAGCACTCCGTGTATTTCTCTCTTCAGGTTAATTCAGAACTGTTTCTTGTTCTATGCATTTTTTTGCACCAAATCCACCGTGACAGGATATATTACAGGATCACTGGGAAACAACCATGCCAGAGCCTTCTCCTGTTGTGTCTGGTATCCCGTTCCCAAGGGGCTCGTAGTCACAGCCACTGAGTTGGTGGCTAATTGCTGGAGGGATGCAGAAACTTCCAGCATCAGTGAACAAGGCCGTGATGGCAAACAGCACATAGACCAGAA